GACCTCTACAGAATATTTCATCCTAATAAAATTGAATATACATTCTTCTCATCAGCACATAAGTCATCCTCCAAAACTGATAAAGTAGGATAACTGAGGTCTTACCTCAGCAAATTTAAAAGAATATAATTTAACCCAGCAGTACCTGTGGCTCACTGGGTAGGGCGCCGGCCTCATATACTGAGGGTGGCAGGTTTAAACCTGATCCTGGCCAAACTGGAACAACAAAAATAAAGCCAGGGGTTGTGGCGGGCGCCTGTAGTTCCAGCTACTCAGGAGGCTGAGACAAGAGACTCATGTAGGCCCAGCAGTTGGTTGCCGTGAGCTGTGTGACACCACAGCACTCTACTGAGGGCGATAAAGTGAGACTCTGTCTCTACAAAAGAAAAAAAAGAATATGGGCAGTGCCTGTGGCTCAGTGAGTAGGGTGCCAGCCCCATATACCAAGGGTGGTGGGTTCAAACCCGGCCCTAGACAAACTGCAACAAAAAATAGCTGGGTGTTGTGGCGGGTGCCTGTACTCCCAGTTACTTGGGAGGCTGAGGCAAGAGAATCGCCTAAACCCAGGAGTTATAGGTTGCTGTGAGCTGTGACACCATGGCACTCTACCAAGGGCAATAACATGAGACTCTGTCTCTAAATAAATGAATAAATAAATAAAAAAGAATACAATTTATTCTTTCTATCTTCTTAGACCACCATAAAATAAAAGTTGAACTCAACAGCAACAGGAATCTTCATACTCAAACAAAGTTATGAAAACTAAATAATCTTAGGCTGAATGACAGCTGGGTCAAAGACAAGATGAAGAAGGAGGCTCGGTGCCTGTGGCTCAAGTGGCTAAGGCGCCAGCCACATACACCTAAGGTGGCGGGTTCGAATCCCCAGCCCGGGCCCGCCAAGCAACAATGACGGCTGCAACCAAAAAATGGCCGAGCGTTGTGGTGGGCGCCTGTAGTCCCAGCTACTTGGGAGGCTGAGGCAGGAGACTCGCTTGAGCCCAGGAGTTGGAGGTTGCTGTGAGCTGTGATGCCATGGCACTCTACCCAGGGGGATAGCTTGAGGCTCTGTCTCGAAAAAAAAAAAAAAGAAAAAAGATGAAGAAGGAAATAACCACATTTTTGGAACAAAATGATCATGAAGGCACAAATAACCAAAACCTGTGGGATACTGGAAAGGCAGTCCTAAGAGGGAAATCTATACCACTGGAAGCCTTCATCAATAAAACAGAAAGAGGGGCAGCACCTGTGGCTCAGTGAGTAGGGCACCAGTCTCATATACTGAGGGTGGCGGGTTCAAACCTGGCCCCAGCCAAACTGCAACAAAAACATAGGTGGGTGTTATGGTGGGCACCTGTAGTCCCAGCTACTTGGAAGGCTGAGGGAAAAGAATTGCCTAAGCCCAGGTGCAGGAGGTTGCTGTGAGGTGTGACGCCACAGCACTCTACTGAGGGCGACAAAGTGAGACTCTTTAAAAAAAAACAAAACAGAAAGAGAGTAAGTCAACAACTTAATAAATCATCTCAAGCAACTGGAAAGGGAAGAAGGTGGCAACCCCAAACCCAGCAAAAGAAATAACCAAAATTAAGGCATCATTAATTGAAACTTAAAATAAAAGAGTCATTCAGAAGATCAACGAAACAAAAAGTTGGTTTTTTGAAAAGATTAATAAAAGTAATAAACCTCTGGCCAACCTAAGCAGAAACATAAAAGTAAAATCTTTAATATCATCTATCCGAAACGATAAGGGAGAAATAACAACAGACATCTCAGAAATTCAAAAAATCGTCAATGATTATTAAATAAACCTCTATTCCCAGAAATATGAAACTCTAAAGGAAATGGACCAAATCCTGGATGCACGCCACCATCCTAGACTTAACCAAAAAGAATTAGAATTTAATAGATCCGTATCAATCATTGAAATAGCACCAACAATACAAAATCTCCCCAAAAAGAAAAGTCCAGGACCAGATGGCTTCACACCTGAATTCTATCAAACCTTCCAAGAGGAAATAGTACCTATATTATGCATCCTTTCCAAAGCATAGAAAAAAAGGGGGTAGTGCATGTGGCTCTAAGGAGTAGGGCACTGGCCCCATATACTAGAGGTGGTGGATTTAAACCAAGTCCTGGACAAAAAAAAAAAAAAGAAGAAAAAGAAGAATACTTCTCAGCACATTCTATGAAGCAAATATCAGCCTGATCCCCAAACCAGGAAAGGATCCCACAAAGA